CCCCCCCCCCCCAAAACAAAAACAAAGCCCCCATCTTTTTGTCATACACATTGTGTTTGAAAAGCTTCTTGCTCTACATATGGTACAATAACGTCATCCAAGACACAGGTTAGAACAATTAGGAGGCGGGCTGCTTCCATCCTGTCTGTCAGTCAGGGCCAACTCAGTTAGTACGAGATATAGCATCCCAACAGTAAGACGGCAGAGCTCGATAAAACAAACAGATTTCCCCATGTGAGAATCGAACTTACGTCTTCTGCATGTATTGACGCCAAAAAAACGCTTATCTGCACAACAAGCGACCTCTAGAAGTTTCTGTTTGGTTTGTTTGTTTGTTTTTGATTATACAAAGACATTCGACAGGCCTGCTGAGTTTTAATATTCTATCATTTTTCCTTCCGACACGTCCTGGTGTGGTATTTCAGATGGGCCGCTTGCAGTGTCTGTGGATGCCTCCCCGAACCCTGTCAACATCTGTCCCCGAACCAGCCATGACGTCACCGTGGTGTGTTCTGTCAAGTTTGAAGACATCTACCCTGAGCCGGTGTTTCAACTGTACTGGGGCGGCCAACAAGTGCAGAATGAGAAAGGAAAGTTGCGAACAGATTCATATAAAAAACGTTACTATACTCTAGTTAATCACTATACCGTCAATGTCAATCAAGCTGGAAGTATCAACTTTCGCTGCGAGGTCTACAACTCAGTGCACACAAATGAAAAAGCTTCAAGCAACACTTTAACAGTTCCAGTGAATGGTGAGGAACTTTTCTATTTCGTTGTTTCTCTTTAAAATTCGTCTGCCATATTTTCAAAATTACTTTCTTTCTATCTGATGTTTACGCCCAACTTGGCACACATAGATCATGTCAAAGGCATGGCCCCTAGCCCGTGATTAGAGCCAAGAACTTACAGAAAGAAAAAAAAAAGACAAAAGAGAAGAACATAATCATCCGTTCCATCCATCTAACAAATCAAATCGTAATAAGTCATTAATCCTACATATCTGACTAAAAGCATCTTTATCGTCATCAAACCATCAGATCTAACAAATTTACCTTTACCGTCATCAGTTCCACATATTATTATCTAATAAACCTGTTTTTCTCATCACCAGCTCCACCGCCTTCTTCTCCAAAACTGACAATATCACGGGGAGTTTACCACGGGATCCAGGGATATTCTGTCCCGATGACCCCGGGACAGAAGTACTCAGCAAGCTGTGACGTGTCTGGGGGTCAGCCGCCCGTGTCCAGTGTCACACTGACCTGTCCAGGCGTGAGTCAGAAGACGATGTCCGGGACTTCAGTGTCTCTGGCTGGCATTGTAGTCGCTGAGTCGGCAGACCAGGAGAAGTGTGTATGTGCAGCACAGCATGTGTCACAGTGCTACAACCTGAGGACTGAGGTCACCATTAGTGTGCTGTGTAAGTACGTTTTCGTTTTAGTAGAGGTTTTACGGCGTTTGCAACTGCATAAGATCATGTGAGCGCCATGTGTAAGTACGTGGGTACAGTGTAGCCATAAGTATCTTGGATGTCTGTATAGCAAAGGAGACTGAACAGACAGATAAAGACAGGAAGGTCGCTAATAGAGGACGACATACGTAATTAATGAGTTAGTGAGAGAGGGAGGGAGGGAGAGAGAGAGAGAGAGAGAGAGAGAGAGAGAGAGAGAGAGAGAGAGAGAGAGAGAGGGAATGCGTGAGAGAGAGGGAGAGAAAGAGAGAGAGTGAGACAGAGAGAGAAAGAGAGAGAGAGAGAGAGAGAGAGAGAGAAGGGAGACAGAGGGGGGGGAACAGGGAGAAAGAGAGGCAAAAAGAACAGCAAAGGGTAAGTGGGCAGGGACCAAGGAGATCAAGGTTTGTAAAGTATCATCATCATCATTATCATCATCATTATCATCATCATCATCATCATCATCATCATCATCATCATCATCATCATCATCATCATCATCATCATCATCATCATCATCATCATCATCATCATCATCTTCATCACCCTCTACGT